AATTTAAACCAAATGTTGGCACCCATATATACATAGATATGTTTGCTATGGACAAATTAAGATTGTGAGCTCATACTTTCAAATACAGCTTCAGAATTAGTTGCAATAAACCAATACATTTTCTCAGATGTATAATTGCCTTTGGTTTACAATCGATGATATGGAAAGTTTAATATGATGTTAAAGAATTTTCCTTCTACCCTAAAAATAAACAATAGAAAACTGAATCACTATTAGGACAGAATAGTAACAACGCTTGAAGGGCTCAGTAGTTTTTCTTAAGAGTATAGAAATAGATAAAGCTTGAAAAGGTAATTGACCTGTAAAAGCCATAAAAATAACAGTTCTGCCACAGCGCAGTTAGGTTCATTCATTTTGCCTCCCCGATTCCCACCCCCGCAAGCAGCTTCCAGGTTAGAACTGGAAGAGACAGAAAATCACGCATCCTACGTGAAATAATGCAAGTAGTGACAAAGAGTGTGCAAAAAAGAAACTTTAAAATTCCATACTCCAACATCACGTCTGTCTAGTGATAGGATTTTCAAGTGATTTATTAACACTCGAGATAATCTCAGCGTCCTCTCGCAGCGTCGTCCGGCAGACTCAGACCTGAGGTCTCTCGCCGCAGCAGGGAAAGTGGTCCTCGGTCCGAAACAGGACGGGGGGTTCGTAGCCGGTGTGCTGGGGCCTGCTGGAGGGCGCCTTGTGGAAGAAGGAGGGCACGTTAATCGTGTGCAGCAGTTTCCTGAACGTACTGGGGAAAGAGCCCAGCTCGGCCTCCGCCCTGGCCACCTGCTCCTCCATCCTGGCCACGCTGGCGCCGATCATCCTGACGAAGGCCTCGAGTCTGTCGATCTTGCTGTACACCTGCCGCATCTCGGTGGCCTTCGCGTGAATGCGAGGCACGCCCTCGCTGACCACGTGGGAGGAGTCGCCGCGCAGCATGTCCAGCATGCCCACGAACTCGTCCACCCGGGTGAGCAGGTCCTCCAGGCTCGCGTCCAGGGCCTCGACCTCGGGCCGCGCCCCGGCTCCGGGCAGCAGGCAGGCGGCGTAGCCCGCGGCGGCGCGGCGCAGCAGCGGCAGGTCGCGGCCTGGCGCGCCCAGCTCCGGGCCCTCGTCCTCCCACGGCCCCGAGGCGCTGCTGTGGCTCTGGGACACGGTGCCGCTGTCCCCGCTCCAGCCGGCGCCCTGGAACTCGGCCTCCTCCGCCGGCTCCTCGCTCGGCGGCCCGCGGTTCCGACCCTCCATGGCCCGCGGCGGCCGGGATACCAGCCCCGCTTCCGGCCTCTCGCGCGCACGCGCACGCACAGCACGCACGCCCCCGCTTCCGGCCTTCACACGCTCATGGACGCACACCCGCCCCTGCTTCCGGTCTCCGCGCGCCCACGTACGCGCACGCGCACCGATCTGCCTCCGGAACGCTCACAATCACGCACGCGCGCTGTGGCGCGCGCGCGCCGTGACTCAAAACCCTTTTTAAAATCCGACGGTGTAACTGAAGTATAAGAAAGTGCATACATGGTAAGTGTACACGTTGGTTGTTTTTCACATGTCCGTATAGCCGTGTAACCATCCAGATCAAGATTAGAACATGTCCAAGCCCCCTGGCCTAGTGGTTAAGTTCACACACTCTGCTTCAGTAGCCCGGAGTTCACAGGTTCAGATCCCGGGTGCAGATCTACACACCATTTGTCAAGCCAGGCTGTGGCAGCATCACACATACAAAATAGGGGAAGATTGACAACAGATGTTAGCTCAGGGGAAATCTTCCTCATCAAAAAAAAAAAAGCAGCACCGATTTTGGGCTGGCCCGGTGGCGCAGCAGTTAGGTTCGCACGTTCTGCTTCTCGCCCGGGGTTCACCGGTTCGAATCCTGGGTGTGGACATGGCACCACTTGGCACGCCATGCTGTGGCGGGCGTCCCACATGTAAAGTAGAGGAAGATGGGCACGGATGTTAGCTCAGGGCCAGGCTTCCTCAGCAAAAAAGAGGAGGACTGGCAGTAGTTAGCTCAGGGCTAATCTTCCTCAAAAAAAAAAAAAAAAAAAAAGAATGTATGAAAGTTCCAGATGTTCTACATCTTCCTCAGCACTTGGTATTGTCAGTATTTTACATTTTAGCCATTCTAGTGGATGTGTAGTGCTATCATTGTGGTTTTAATTTGCATTTCCCTGTTGAATCATGAAGTTGAGCATCTTTTAATATAGTTAATGGCCACTTGGCTATCGCCTTTTGTGAAGTGCCAGCTCAAGTCTTTTGCCCATTTTTAAGTTATTTGTCTTTTATTAATCTATCGAAGTTCTCAATAGTTTGAATATGAGTTCTCTGTCAGATATATCTGTTGAAAATATCGTCTCCCACACTGTGGCTTGCCTTCTCCCTCTCTTATTGGTGAGTTTTGATGAATAGAAGTTGATAATTTTAATAAAGTCCAATTTATTAAACCAGGAAAGTTTTGAGAGTGAAAGGGGACACAATAATCACATCAAGACATGAGATGTAAAATCTTGGGTAAACCGTGTCATATGATTATTATGGACCATGTGGATCATATTCTGATCATTAGGGATCATATGTCCAATGCCAACCCTTGGGTAACAGATAGAAATTGAGACCCAGAGTCATGTGTTCAGGTTAACCAACTTGTCCAAGGCCACAGAGCAACTAATTGGAGGAACTAGGACCTAATTCTGGATTTGTCTGACTCCAAAATCTTTGGCATCAAATACCTCCATATACTGTCTGGTAATAATTAGAATACTATCACCACTTAGGTCTACTGGCACTTTGGCATTTGCAAAACGCTTTCATCCGTATCATCTCACTTATGCTTCACTCTTCTATCTCACTCACTCTTCCCTGTGACAGATATTCAGGCACGGAGCACTGGTCTTTGTCAGACTGGAACACTGAAGCTCTGATGTGTGGCACTTGTGTAAGCAGGATCCCTCCAAACTGCTGCTAGTGTGGCACTGACAGACCAAGCCTAGAAATAGACTCCAGCCATTCCACAATGACACACTATTGGTACTCTCATAGGAAAATAGGCCAAGAGTTGGGCATTGTTTGAATTCAATATTGGATTATTAGAAAATTTAGTGCAAAAAATTTTGTTAAATGAATATTAAAGCAACATTTACTGGGCCCCTACTATTTTTCAGGCACGGTAGGTGGTGGAGACATAGAGATGACCAAGACCAGAACCTGCCCCCAAGGAGCTTCCAGTCTGGTAGACGTGCTTATATTTTAGGGAAGACGGCCTCGCCTCTAAAACATTCCCTAAAGTCCTACTGTAACTGAACTCAAGGGGCTCGTCTCTTGGTGAGTACGGAGCTGAAAAGCACAACTGGGGCTGAAGGAAATGAAGAAAAGTTTTATTGCTTGCGCAGGCAATAGAGAACACCGAGTACAGCTCCCAAAGAAGCGTCTCCGGAACTTAGTGTTGCAGGAGACGTTATGCACAAGAGCACGGAGGATATGTTACAATTGTGTAACAACTGTGCTCAATCAGGGCACATGTGTAGCAGGTGGACAGGCCATTACACAACGAGTTCAAGGAACTATTACACAATGAGTTCAAGGAACATGAACAGGTCATTATGTAACGGGTCCATGGCAACTTTTGGACACTTGGCTCTGGAGCAATTTGCAAGGGTCTTGCTGCAACCCTGTACTTTTCATTGTAAGATGGCAACATCTGCAAAAACGGGAACATCACCTTCGGAAAAACAGAACATTTAGTTTCTCCTTATCTGGAAAACGTTTGACAGCCCGTTTGTTATTGATCAGATTCTCAGTAACTCTTTCCTTCCCTGGTTCCCGGTCACACTGCTAGAAGCCAGACTGCCAGGAGAGGCTGGGGACAGAGTGCTGCAGGAGATCATAGCAGCATTCTTGCTAGGCTTTAAGCCTAGGGAAGATAAATTCCAAATGGGGGACTGGGAGATATGTGATCTGCTGATTCTCATAATCATTATACCAGATTGATTGTGCTGTGGAATCTCAGGCTGGAGGGGAGTATGTTATCAGGCATAAAGGTAAGGGGCTTAGGAAGGCCGGGCCCTTGCAGGAATGGAACACCGCCTGCGTACCTTGCTGATTGTCCTTAAGATGCGCCCCAAGTGAATGACTTGAGATGGGCTGGTGTGGTTCCGGGGGTGAGCAACAGAACCTTTGGACTTTGGCTTGCATGTCCCTGCAGCCATGAGTTCCTGCTATTGTACATGCTTGAGATTCTTTACCCGAAAATAAATATGTGGCGATCCAAGGGACCTCACCTCAGTCCTTGAGGCTGATGGTCCCTGTCCCATTGAATAATATAGATTGCGTTCTGTCTATTAATTCCGTCCGCCCCTTCGGCTGGCTGCCTAGCTGGTCTCGGCAGCAAGAGCCCAATCAAAAGTGGCCCTTCACCTTGGTTTACTTACAGTCCAGTGAAGAGATCAAGAAACTTCTGACCAGAACGACCCAAGGCAGGAGAGAGAAATCCCCCCGGAATGAAAGTACAGGAGTGAGGAGTGCGGACTACGAGGGAAGGGCCCTGGGCATCCGCGGTGCTTGACTCGAGGGCCTATCACAGGAGAGGGAGCATGTGCGGTAGTAAAGAGCAGGGACTGTGGACCCAAATCGCTCAGGTTCAAATTCTGACCACAAGCACCGCCTTTAGTCAGTTCTTCATCTATCTCACAGGTTCACTGTGTATTGATACAAGTTAACCCAAGCACTTAGAGCAGTGCACGCTTGAACAGTAGCCTGTCTTATTCAAACAGGAGGGAGAGAGAATCGCTTTTACTTAAAAAAAAAAAAAAAGTAAAAGGCCTGCAAGCTTTCGCGGTGCTGGCGAGAAAACCGCTTCTAGCCCTCAAAGGCATATGAGAGAAGGGGGCGGGGCGGGGCACGGGAAGCGGGTGAGGGCGTGCGCGCGGCCGAGGCCGAGGACCCTTTGCGTGCGCGCGCCCGCGCCTCGGTCTTGCCGGAGGCGTGACCGTAAAGGAGCCCGGCCTGCTGTGAAAAGGCCGCAAACACGCGCGGGTTGGCTCTTGAGTCGGTGTTATTCGTTGCTCCGCTGTTTGCTTTTCTTCCCACAGCAGTTGTGAAGCGAAAAGGCGTAGAGGGAAACAGTTTTAAAAATAATTCAGGAATAGTACTGACAAGGGAGCGGGTCGCTTCGACTCCGCAGTAGGCGTGATCAGCCGTCCCCGGGAGGTGCGGGCTGAAGCGGGGGCCGGGGGCATGCGGCCCGTGGACCCGGACGAGGCGGACGCCCCGGAGCAAGTGGAGGTGCTGGAGCCCGAGGAGGACTTCGAGCAGTTCCTGCTGCCCGTCATCCACGAGATGCGCGAGGACATCGCGGCGCTGAGCCGGCAGCGCGGCCGGGCGCCCCTGCGGAACCGCAGCAAGCTGTGGGAGATGGACAATATGCTCATCCAGATCAAGACGCAGGTGGAGGCCTCGGAGGAGAGCGCGCTGAACCACCTGCAGAGCGCGGGCGACGGCGGCGAGGGCCGGGCGGCCAGGCGGGGCGAGCGGGCCGAGGAGAAGGCCCGGGAGGTGGCGAAGATGGCCGAGATGCTGGTGGAGCTGGTGCGGCGGATAGAGCGGAGCGAGTCGTCGTGAGGAGCGGCGGCGGTGAGGCGGCGGGCGCCCCACGAGCGTGATCGAACGGCTTCCTGGGTGATAGTGATGTCTCAGGAGTGCAGCCCCGATCCTCCTGCGTCCAGACTTCGGCAGTGGGCGGAAAGTTGGGGTCGAGAGGAAAATGAACGCGTGCTTGTTTGGATGGGGGTTAGTAGATACTGTTTTTTATGGCCCCACCTGTCCCCACTCGTAGTTAGAGAAAACTTAAAATAACTTGGGGTTTGTTTTTGTGAAACGTGAAAGTCAATTGAACAAGACAGTTGCGGGAGGTAGACCTGTCTAGGCACTGCGGAGGATGGGGAAACCAAAGAAAACCGAGGCCATAGAGTAAAATAGGGGAGGGTGAGAACACAGGGAAAGGGAACAGAAAAGTGTGAAGCTCTGGGCCTTTTCCAGTAATTTCCAGGTTTTTCTTGAAGGCAGGTGTGTCAGGACCCTGTCTGAAGGAAGTGGCCTTCTTGTGGGCGGTTAACTTTTTCTTGTAAACATCAGGACGCGGCAGTCCTGGGACTCAATGTCTCGATGGTAAATTTCTTCCACTTGTGCTTTAGGTTCACAGCTGGTGGCCTCTGCTCAACTGGTGAGGATGGGCTGACCCCTCCAGGAAACGGAAGCAGCTCTCGTTTTCTCTACTCTGTTTGTATGTTTTTTATCCCCACCTAACAGTCTGCCTTAAGGTCAGTGTGTGGTGACCTTGATAGGGGTTTAGATTGTTAAATGTATTTGGTTCCTGAAAAATGACTTTTGTTTGAGAAATACTCTCGTAAGGGAAATGGGCCTTCATCAAAGGTTGTTTCAGTGGCCACATTTGTTCTTGTTACTCTGCTGGGTTTTTGAAATGTTGGGCATGGTCTTCATTTCGCAGTTACCCTGGGACCTGGTTGTTTTCTGGAAGTGTGGGGCACCTGAAGCCTTGGGGTCAGAATCCTCCAGCGTCAGAGGTGCAGTGGAAAGCACTACTTGGATGTGGCTGGGGGAGAGTGTGGGAACAAGACCGCCTTGGATAAGACTGGGCAGAACTAGCAGACAGCTGCACAGGGAAGATGGTCGTGCATCCATTTGGAACTTGAGTCATCTGTGACACACAGGAGGAGAGTTATGTTTTGTGGCGTATATTGTCTGCTGTTCATTTTGCAATCTGTCAGGTGAGTTTTTTAGACAACCTAGCGGATCCTAAATGACAGAGAAGTTTAAATGGAGAGTGGCGGAGTGTGCTTTACTCTTGTCATCCCCTCACGCATGCAGGGCTTCAGAGTATCGCATCAGGGAGACGATCTGCAAAGAGCCGTGAGAGGCCCGGGGAAGGAAGAGGCATCATCAGGCCGCGTCAAGTCCCCTCTCCTTCACTGGGGTGGCAGACCCGACAGGGACTTGAGACCAAAGTCAGACGTGTTCTAAGTATTCATTTGCTTTGAAAAACAAAGACTTAAAAAGCCTTTTTTAAAATAAATTTTTTGTTCGAATGACCAAAGCCCCTGTGTGTGTTAATAAAAGAATCATGAGTAAATTTCTTCTAAAATGTCTGTCCTTCCTTGGGTGTCGCCATCACCAGGTGGGAATGAGCTGCTGTAGTTTGAGGCTCTGTGCAAGCCTTGAACTGCGAGGGAGAGCTACCTATGGAAGGTGCTCTGGGCATAAGATGCCAGAACGCCCCCGTCTTACCAGAAACAAACGTCAGCCCGTCCTCTGGGCTAAGCCCCTGCCTTACAGCAGCTGAAGTATGTTTAGTCACTCAATGGGGGTATAGTGAGCTTCATATGCGGTCCAAGGCACTGGGGACATACGGGTGAGACATGGATTGGGAAGAGGTGGGACAGAAATGGAAAGAAGCCACCGCAGCATTTGAGCTTGAGTGTCTTGTGGGAGCGTTGTTTTGTGGGAGACTCCCCCCAGCACTGCAGGGGGAGTCTGGGAAAGCTGGTCAGAGCAAATGATTTGGCTTGCCCTTGAAAGCTGGGCACAACTGGAAGTAGGAACGAGCAGAGAGCTCAGAGGCTCAGGGACAACTGGAGCAGAAGCCTGCTGAGCTCCAGCACTGGGGAGACGGCCAGGGCGCTGGACTGCAGAGTGCGGAGGCGCTGGAAGAGGGAGGAGATCTTCGCAAGGAGCTCGCTCCTCTTTGTAAGCCTCTCTTCCGGGAGGTTCTTCACCCCGAGTGTCCTTACTGAGCGCTAATGAGACTCAAAGCCACAGCACGGGCCTCGGGCCATCTCCAGAAGTGCTCGCTGTAATTGGACAAGAACAAACACGTGTTTGTAATGACAAGTGGAGATACATATTTTGGATTAATGTGTAAAATAGGCATTTTTATAATAAAGTCTCCAGGCGCAAAGAAAAGTCGTGTTTACAGAGGCTGTTTCTGGCTGTGCTTTGGACTCTAGCATCCTTGTTCATGCGCCTGCCTTTCTGGGCTCTTCAGTGGAAACAGAAACATGCTGAGCCACGGAGACTCTGACGCGCTGGGGAATGTTACTCATACTGCGTGCCGTGTGTGGATTGGTGGGAGCTCGAGTGAAGGCGAGAAGATGGCGCTGCAGAAGTACCGAGGGGGAACGAGTGCCTGACCTGGAGCCGAGGGGTGGGGAGGGCCAGCTAGGCTTAGGGTCCTGGGGTCAGGGCGTGGTATCTTTCTCTATCAGTCAGCCAGACTAAGTTAAACTACTGTGAGGAGTTCACCCCAGAGTCTTAGTGGCTTAAGACCGCCAGGTTTACATCTCCTTCGTGTTTATGTACACTGCAGGTTAGTTGCTCCATGTTCTTGTAATTCCAGGGCCTGGCTAGAGCATCCCCTCTTTGGGATATTGTGAATCTTGATTCAAGAAACTGTTCATTATAAACTACTTCAGTGACTTAGAAACATGGTTTTGGGGTGAAGAAGCTGAATACACACACATATGCGCACATATCTATATGCTATACACATATGGTGTGTATATAGTATATACATGTATTTTTCCCCTTGATTAGCTGACCAGAGATTATATTTATCCATAGGGTTGCATTTCATTTCGTCAGTATCCCAGGGCTGGATTCTAAGCCTCCTTCACATTCGGAGTCTTAAGAGTCTTCTGAACCGGTTTTGGTCCTCGGCGTTACTCAGAGCATTGTCTTAACCGGTGCTTGTGACGAAAGTCTAATTTAGAGGCACTCAGGAGTTTGTATTTCCTATTCATTTGAACTCATGCATTTCCCCTAATTGAATTACCTACCAGTGGAATTTATGCAGCCTCGCAGTTAGCTAGAAGGTTTGGATTGGCTTCTCTCAGTAGCTCAGAAAGTCATTAGTCTGTCATGGATGAGCCAGTCATGCCCAGACGCCTCTTGCTGTGAAATCTGAAATTTTGTGTTCTCTTCCAAAAGATCTAGGAAATTCTATGACCTTCACTTGCATTGGCTGGCTTGTGATGCCTGCGTCTTCAATAATGTTTTGTTTCAGTACCTCTCACGGAGTTTTGTTTTTTCTGAAAGCATTTGAAGGCCAGGTATTTACATGGCTCACCATGCTACTTTTCTTTCTCTCCTGTATATCCAGGCCCTTTCAGCAAGTATGCGTTCTTTGTAGGAAGCCTCACCCACACTGATGCACAAGCTCGTTGAAGCATTACGCATGTATGAGGACCTAGTTAAGCTCGGGATATTCTAGAAAGGCTGGCTGTGAGTTAGATGCTGCCCGGGCCCCTGGGGGTCCATGAAAAAGCAGGCAGGAAGGCTGTGGGGAGAAGACAGAGGGCAGTGGGGAAGGGGTGTGGCTGGGTGTGTGGGAAGAGCCTGGAGGGCCCCATTAGGGGCATTGGAGGTCACTTGGGTGTGTGGGGCACGGCCACATGGACGCACCAACAAGAGAACAAAGAACCTGGGGGCAGCAAGTAAAGAAATCAGCTGCAGCTTCAGCCTCTCCCGAGCTGTAGGCACTGCCAGCCCAGCTGGGGAGAGGCGAGCTGAAGCCTGCTCAAACTTTACGTCACCAGCGAGGTCTTCCTCTACTGCTCTGTGGTTGCGTGGGGTGTCAGAGCCCAACTGGGGAGAGGAGAGCATCCACACGGGGACAACTCGGTGCAACTTGTCAGGGCCTGAGCAGCATGGTGAGGGCATCCAGAGGAGGCCAGTCCTGCGAGGTGATAGCCTGAGAGGCGAGGAGAGTGCACAGGCACGGGGCAGACTGGCATAGGGAGTCATAGCATGAGCAGGGAAAAAGGTTTCCATGCAGGAGAGGGGCTGTCGGCAGAGGAAGAGAAATATGAAGAGGAAGAGCACTAGAACGAACCAGCACACCATGGTATTGGTTTGAAATTGGAGGTATCTGTGCAAACTTGTGATTTTGTGTGTGTGTGTGACCATAGGTATAGATCTCTACATAAATTTATGTATGTACTTACAGATCTTCCCTAGTTCTGTCCATTGGGAGGGGCTAGAAGCAGTGACACCCCAATAGTAATGAGCACACCTAGTTCTCAGATCTTGGCTTCTAAATACCCTTTTCCACTAGAAGGAACTAGAAGTGCTTGGAGAAACAGTTAATTCCAGAGCTGGGGCAAGGAAAGTATAAGATGTATCGAGATGCCCATGCCTGGGATTGAGGGGTCCTAGGTCATATGACAGTACTCTAGCTGCAAAAGCATCTAGTATTTTCAACTTAAACGGGTTGATAGACTTGCCACCCATCCAGATGCATAAGTGATGAATTCCCCAAACATAAAAAAGGGATACAGATGTTGAATGGCTAAAACGAATGACAAGTATCCACTACTTGTGGTCATGGAGGCAGATACTGACTAAATATGGCTTAAACAATATAGCTTTGTATCTCCCATAATTCCAGATGCACGTGGATCTGAGTCATTTCAGCAGCCAGGGATTTGAAATACCATTCACATAGGCTATGATATAAGCAGCACTCCCTGGAGGTGTGCAGTGGGGCAACCCTGCCAGCCACTCAGTGAGGTCAAAGGTCTTCTATGATCCTCTTCACTTTGTCCTCCTTATTGCACAATGGCTGCTGCAGCTCCAGGCATCACATCCTCACACAACAATGTCTAAGTCCTGGAAGGAGATGGGGAGGGTGGGTTTCCACAGCTAGGTGTCTTCTTTTTCAATCAGGGAGGAAAGTCCTTCCTAGCTAAGGTCATCATATACTTACATCATTTACAGTTGTACAGTTTATGCACTGATAGCTCCGGGGGATACCATTCATGTTATAGTCATTGTGCCTCGATAAAGTTCTCAGGACAGTTTTCCTGCAGATGCCACTACTGGGTCTTGAGGAACAGCATCTCTTCCTAATTTGCAGGAATGTACCCTGAGGGTTGGCTTTGGCCTTTGCTGGGAGCCGTGGCTACATCATTTGATCGGCTGTTTGACAGGGTCCAGCCGATTAACGCCGAGGGGTGCAGGGTCGCCCCTTGGTGAAGAATAACCGGCCAGCCCCTCACACAGTTCTGAAACCTGTGTTGCTTCTAATTGCCCTTCATTCCTTTTCCTTTCTTAACCTCCAGTTTTCACTCCTTTGGGTGGCTGCTTGGGAGGCACTACCTCCCGGGAAAATTAGATATAGTAAGAGAATGTGACCACCTGCAGGTAACTTTCAAGATATTTTTCAGTTAATTAACGGAGGAGCACACAGTCCCATTTGAGACAAGCAGAAAGGAATCCTGCCCAGATAAGATGTCGAGTTAGGTTTATGGCCTCTGTCTGGTTAATGTTTCCTTCTCCCTCCAGTTCTTTGTCTAGATATATGTATGCATCGTCCTTCTAAGTTTGTTGGTTAATCGGAGGATCAAGAAGTATCTATATATTATTCTTGACCTTCTGCTTTCTGTTAAAATGTTATAGAGGTTTTCTCCTAAAAGCAATAAATAATAAATAATTGATGAGTAGAAGGGCCGAGGGGTGCAGGGATGCCCCTCGGTGAAGAATGGCCGGCCGACACCCCTGATATTTTCTGAGTTATATGCGTGCTTTCTAGCAAGGTTATGTCTATACTTATTTCTGTTTTTTATTCTTAAAGATATATAGTTTAGCTTAGCTTTTCAGCCCTTTACTTTACTAACAAAATGATACTTTCTCCGGCAGTGTGCTTAAGGGACTGTTAGCTCTACAATCTAAAAGACAAAGGAATGCTTCCACCCACTAAAGGGCGCAAAAAAGTAAAGATGTTTAACTGCCCGCTGAGAATGCAGATAGCCCTGGGGATAAGACACCCTGGAGTCGCCTTTTGTTCCCATTAACCGTCTACACTAATGGCGTAAATGATTGAGGGAGGCAGGGATGGCTCCACCAGGATGCAACCAGACGGACTGCTGTCCTGTCCGGAGGCCTGGACCTTCTCTCTTTGATTTAACTTTACCATGAATCACAACAGACGCCTAGGTACTTATCTCCTTTAGCTGAGAGACAACAAACACTAGCTAATTGCGGAGAAGACTACCATTAACCTTATGCTCTACAGAATAGAATGCTAATAAATATTCTTGTACTTGTTCTTTACTTCCGTATCTCTCTGAGAATATTTGTAGAACTGTT